GGAAGATGCTGATTCCCCATTTCAAGGGCCTGAGTTTTGTGGCGCTAGTGGAGGTGATGATAGGCGGGCAGTGTCGTCGTGAACTTGTTCCCCACCGACAAATTCGCGAGCCTTCGGGAGGAGCCGTCCAGGTGGAACTCGTCGCAGCGGGCCACTTCGTCAAACGGGTGTGCAGAGTGCCTAACGGCTACTGGATCCTACAGCCGAATGTATCGGCGTGGCTGCCTGCAAGAGGTTGGAGAGCGCCTCCGTGTGCGATTTGTGAAGGTTTCTAGCAAGGAGATGCACTATCTGCGACGGCGCCAGGATCCGCCTTTGACGAGCAGCGATGTGGTAGGTCACTGCTACTAGTTGTTGGCAAAGTGCCAAGTTTGATTGTCATATTTCAGTTCAGGTTTTTCGTGATCGTACCGTAGGCGATGGTGTTCGCGGAACGCATAGAATCCATTTTCATTTTCAAAAGAATGTTCAGAAAAAGCGAGATGGCGGATGATGTGACGACATCGTCACTAGTCGCACCGCATGACCATTAGTCACCGGAAGCCTACGTGCAGGTATGCCCTGCACATTCCTGCGCGGTCATACGGCATCACGCTGACCGCATATTACATCATCATGCCGTCATGCACTCTGTCATTGGCTTGTCGCCACACCAGCCCCACCCATGGCAGCCGAGCCCATCCGGACCAGGACCATATATAAAGCACCCCTCCACACCGTACCAGACAGTAGTCTGACAGCAGTCTACCAGCAGACTCTCAGTCGACTCCCAGGCTACACCTGGATTACCTGGCATTAGCATTGTTATTGTGGGCATAGGGTTATATTGAATAAAGGTCACTATCATACGGGTGCGTTGTCTAATCGTTGTAGGGACACATCGGTAACACGTAAAGGTCATCGTCGACCAACACAGGTGTAGCACAGGTGCGCTTACAGGAGAACTCTATACTGCGACAATGACGCACCGCAGCGCAAAAGCCCAGTGAGAGCCGGTGAGCGTGGTTTGGCTGTGCCGTTGTCAGTGCTAAAGGAGATCTTCCACTCCCTGGACACCGTCGATCGGCAGCGCTGCCGCCGCACCTGTCATCTGTGGGAGGACCTTCTTACGTCGGCGGAACTGTGCAGCGAGGTGCGTGCCGCCAAGCAGCAGTTCCACTATTCGATTGTAGTAAGCTGGGACTCTAATTACGCCCTGTACGCCAGCATCTTCAAACTCGTCACACCCGCCACGCACACCATCAGCATCCGCTATTTCAGCACGGTGTGGGACCCTCGAGAGCTGGACGGTATCACAAAGGCCCTTGACGACGCCGGCATGCGCATTCACCGCCTCATCCTTCACCACGGCTCGATCAAGGTCGCACCGTGGACATCGCGAGGCCAGCGGAAGTTGAGCGCGCTTTGCGCCAAGACAGCCGCGCCGCTGCCCACGATCTTGTCACGCTGTGATCGTTTGATCTGGAAAGATTACCGTGTAGCAATGTTGTCCAGGAAGAGTATAGAACCTCTGATGGAGTTCCGCATTCCCGCTGCCGTCTTCACACCGGGACATGTCGATGCGGCGTGCATTGTGGAGCTGTTGGAGAAACATCTGAACTGGGAGGGGTCGGCATTAAATATGCAGCGCACTGCATTTTTCTTGGCCAATGGCATCGACAACGATGCGACCATAAAGAAAGTTATGCAGGTACTGACGGGAGATTGAATACGAGTACCATGTGTGGTTGACCTGCAGTAGAAACCGTTAGCAATGCACAATAATTAGAGGTTCCCTTATCAAACCAGACTTCCACTATTTCCTCACTTTTTAAATGAATTTTTCAGACTTGAGATTCGTAGAATAGATCACAAGCATCTGAAACCATTTGGCCAAATTCCGCTGCCGCGCTTTTCGTCGTCCGGACACCAGAGGGACACGGTGTTCTCTGTGTTGTTGAACATTAGTAAACTTGATAACTTTTTATGAAGCTTGTGTAAACACTGATTATTACGCAGTCAATTTTTGGAAAGATTTTGCCATGTTGAAAAACGCGGAGGACGCCGTGTTTCTGGTGTCCGGTACGCGAATCCATAATGTGAAAAGTCTGGAAATTTGCGAATAATGTCGAAGTAATTGTTTCTCTTGGTGTACATGCAAAGGTGTGTAACCTGCTGAATTCTGCTGCAGATTCTGAAGGACTACCAATCCTGCGATCCGCGTCCGTCCGCGCACTACCGTGGACACCGGTGGAGCTTGGACAGTGGGGCCGAGGTGGACGTGGGCAAGCTGAACCGGTTCTGTTTGTATGCCTTGTCAAAGTACATGTCCGGTATCCTCGGCTGACGATGCGACACACTCCACAGTTAACGCTCAGCGCACAGCAAGCCTGACGAGCAAGTAGTAAAGTTGATCCAAATTTTATGACTGTTAGGGTCATGTTTTTCGACCCGGTTAAGAACGAATAGTTTATGTATTGTTTTTGTCTTCGTTTTTTCGTTTTGTCAAAGTAAGCAATCAATATACCATACCATCAGTAACCAAAAGTAACCGGCAAAGTTTAAACATTTAGTGCAAATAAACAACCCGTAAAAAAAACGTGCAATACAGGACGCAGGTTTACTTCTCAGGAAAAAAGTGGCACCGCGTGCTCCACACTAGTTACCACATAGACGCGATGGAAAGACACCGTACAGAGTAGTTTTCACTTTGTACACTTTGCACTTTCCGGTATAATGCAGGCTAACTTACTATGTTATTTTTCAATGGCAGTAATTATGCACGTTTGCTGATTAAATTTATGCCGGTTTATACTGAATTTAACTACTCTACGACATGCTCAGTAGGGTCCGGCAGCTTATCCATGCGGCGGTAGAACGTGGCACTGGCACCGCTACCGGCATGGTATGCGGTATAACCTGGAGACTCTGACAACTGGAAAGCGAGGAAATCTGGCTGATGTTGCGTAAAAGGTGGCATTGCGTATAAATGGATTCGGCGTGCTAGGTCAGCTGTATAATTCCTGAAAATATCCCCAGTGCACACAGCCATTTTTTCATGTGAATTTAAATGTAAGAACATTGGCCATACACGAAGCGCTCAAGCAAGCGCCGGCATATACAATTCAAAGATCAAATTTTAACGTCATTTTGCACTTGCCTTGCGCAACGTCTCTAGCATAGTTTGCGCAAAGTACCGAAGTATGAAACCATGACAAGGTGCAGTTAAAATACAACCGCAGCACTTCCTGACGGCACCGTTGGATATGCCATTGTACAGTAATTCGGAAGTACTAACGAATTCGGAATTCGTAAATACCTTCATGCGGCGCTGTATTACTGGAGACACGCAAAATCATATGAGTAATACGAGCTTGGGATTCAATAAAAGGGGATGTCAGTGGCTCACCAAGATAGCCCCTCTACTTGCTGCCGTCAGCCGGCTGGAGTATGACGCTGGGCTATACATGGTGCTTATGTACCGCGCCAGATTTAGCCATATGTACTGCCGTAACGTCAAACTCCAGGCGGGTGACTGCTGCAAGTAAGTACAGAGATTATCTAGGTGCTCTACTGACATCGCCTCGAATGCAGAGTACCAATAATGGCGAAACATGCCTGGGCTGGCCCGGTTCTTTGTTGATTACCTTCAGCTATATACTCTCTGATTAAAATTCTTTGTATTTATTGAATTCCTTTATGTACTTTGACAATGTTTCACCATTGGCAAGCAACCAACATATTCCCGTCCCCATTAATGCTCGTTACTTTGCTCGTTACTATGCCCGTTGCTTTGGTCGGCGAAGTGCCTGCAACATCCGCTGTGTTTTACTTCGTTTTTTCTATAATCCGTGGAATGATGCGCCAGTGTCGGATGAGTGATTTGCGTTTAGTACATACAGTATGTTCAAGCGTGGTTAAAAGTATCTGAAGTAAAAGGAGTACCGCACATATTTGAACTACATTACATGACCAAAATATCACGTAAACTAATAATAAAAAGCATTAATATTACGTGAACTACATGCATTTCCCCGGGCTAACAATCGCTACTAAATAACAATTCGTTAATAACGATACTTCTAACAATAGTGCATGTACCAATCGAAAACTCATAAATTTATTAATATTTGAGGTTATGGTTTGCATTCGCACAATTGACTTTATCACAAAGTTCAACACTGTAGCACCGAACACGTCGTACGTCGCAATTAAAACACTCCACGGCGTACCGCGGCCAGTATATTGACAATCAACGTTTTCGGAACCGAAGGGAAACCTGCGTAACTGCGGTGATATAGTGCGCTCTCAGCGCATTACAGATATTATTTCCTTGAGAGAAAAGGACATGCCAAGTGAAGCCGCGCTTATAATGCACGGTGCAGTCTACACTGAGAATTGTTTTGACTACAGATCACAGTACAGGAAGGCGAAGGTGGATCACAGTGCCATTTTTTGATTTTAATCTACTACAATGTCGGTTCAGTTGTTCGGTATATCATATTATATGTGCGTGTCAGCTTATGCGTGTGAAACTTCGCTGTTTTCAGAAAAAACCGGTGCCCTAAATATTCGTCATTAAGCCAAAAAGACATTAATACCAGTTGCGTTGAAACGTTTACATGAGAGTATGGAACTAAAGAGTGCGTACTGTTGGCACCTGTCGTTACCGTCAATTTTAGGTTTTTAACCAAATACAACAGGGTGGATAAGACCGTATAGTGGGACTCACTTACAATTAGTAACTGTACGTGAGAAGAAATCGATGTTAATACTGTACCTGCATTGTGCATTCCCTGCACTTTATTCCAGTTGTGTACGTAATAGAGTAGACGCTCCTTATTACCTGTAAATGTATTTATTTCAACCATAAGCATTACGGACATTCGACAATTTCATTACCAAAAGGTTATTGATTAGTCTGAAAACCCTACATTACGTATGTACAGGTACATGTGTTTATTGTGTTAAGTGCGGACTGTGCGGTCATCAAAACTTAAAATACAATTCTGATGATTAGCTTACAACCCTATTAACAACATTTATATGGAAAGACAGTTTCATATGTTTCGGATGAGTGGCTCACAGATAACCGCATATGATTCACAAGAGTGCATGTCGGTTCATGCAAATCGCTTACAGCGCTGACTGATAAGGCCTGGGCAGTTATAACTGTACCTCGTTCGTCACGAATTCCGTCGTATTTTGACAAATTTTGTTCGGAAATACAAAAACTAATTTCAGCTCATGACAAGAATCTATCGGAATGCAGTTCGCTTCTACACATAAACCTACATATTTATGTGCAAAGCTCAGGTTTTATAAGCTTTATGTGTAATGTTAGATCACTGTGAAAACAAGTGATCAGCCGCAGCGCTTTCCACTTCCAGTCGCCCATTGTGCATTTTTTCTTAATTTTCTTATTCTTCATAATTGATTATGAAATCTGCCTCTAACTCAGCAATCATGCGTAAAGCGCAGTATGCATCTTTATGCACCTGCATATACGTATATAATCATATGTATGTATATATAGGAAGCACTCTGTAACTATTATTATATTAATATCACTTTCACTGATCTAGAGAGCGGTCTACGAGTACGTAGAGAGAGTACGCACAATTACAGAGACATGACTTGCAAACTTACGTATTTTGGTAGCAGCTAAAAAATGAATACGACGTTGTAAATGACAGTCGGCATGTGTAATGTTTCACACGCGCCATGAAATACTAACCGATTAAGTTAATTACTTAAAAAAATTAATGGCCTTGTATCTGCAAATTAAACCTATTTGCAATTTTGCAGATTAAATCTAGATTCCTAACCATGGTAAGCACAAAACTGAAACGGTCCGCTTTTATTTACAGTACTGTTACTAAACTCTTAAGCATCTGTATGCTTATGAACTTATGATAAATGCAAAAATAATTATTTCAAGAGCCAGATACCTGGTAATTTACCGGTAGTAAAGTTAAATCCATCTAACGAATAAATACAGCTCGATATGCATACTTTGTTAACATACGCTGATACGCGTAGTATACTTACGGTAAAATATAATTAAAAAATACCGCGGTATTATATTTTCCTGTTTCTTTTCCTTAATCATTATGATTAATTAAGGAAATTAAGCGGTTAACAGCTGAACTCTCGTAGCAAACGCGCATGGATGCGTACGCAATAATATAACTGATATCAAAAAAGTTATCTTATCAGGATTTCACACGGAGTCGCGTCGCAAGTCGCAACGGCTGAATGCGCCATGCAGTTCAATAGCGCGCAGCAAGAGTTGTCAGCGGTGCAAACAACTCAAAACTTGGTGTTTCAGTCGATCGCAAACTTCATACCGCACTGCACCACTAAATCTTGATTTCACTTGCTTACGATTTCTAATAGATCCTTTTCGGCAGGCGGCAGCTTGTATAGGACTAATTAATTTATTGGGATAATAGCTGGGAGCATCAGGTTGGCTATTGCGTTTTTTAAGAAAAGATTTTAAAATCGTCTGAACAGTGTAGCCGTGTTTAATTGAACAGTGATATCTTTGGTTTGGGCAGCAACGATTGCGATTTGTTGCACAGTTATTGTGCGCATTGCACCGTTATGAATCTCTAATTGCAGCACAATCGAACCACACGTTTACCGCCACCATGTGAAACTGGAATGGATGGTTTGTAGTTTGCACATCCACAGAAACCGGCAGCGGTCCGCAGAATGCAGTGAGCAAAAATTCTCTTTCCGGGAAAGGATGAATATAATTTTAACCAAAATGGGTGTGATTAAATGTCCGCTGCCGGTGTTATTTCTATCAGTCGAAAACTATTGCCAAATTTATACACAACAACAAACAAATCTGCATCGTCCTGCTGATTAACAAAGAAAAAATAAAGAGAAGTGACTACACAAAAGAATCCGCACAATTCATTAAAAGTTGCTAGTATAGTACTACCAAATACATACTATATAATATTTAGAAAACAGTCGCAACGATGAGGAGCGAGGGCACAATTCGAACCGACAAAATTATTTTTTATATCCGATTACGACAAAATACTTCCAGGATAAATTTCGTCTTTTTCGAGACAGAAAAACACTGATTTAAGGGTGATTGTGAACCATACATTTCACGTATGAGTTAACGTCTAAATAGATGTACCGATATTACTATGATTCATATTTTTACTATTGATGGGGCAAGTTACATCAAATGGTCGTAAAATCAATAATTTTTGCGCAGATACTTGCAAATTCCTAAAGGCCAATGCCAAAACGCCGGCAGAATTTCCTGCCGACCGAATTTTTGTGTGGTCAAAACGCCGGCCGAATTTCCTGCCGGCAGAATTTCCGGTGGTCAAAACGCCGGCCGAATTTCCGGTGGTCAAAACGTCGGCAAAATTTTTTCAACCTTTTAAATTTTAAGATTCAAATATTATAAAATTATTACCTGGCACACGGTGTATTACACGTACTAATATAATTGCAGTATCTGTATCGGCACGCTTTTGGTGTTGCATTATTGACAGCGTGCATAGAAAGCTCGGAAGAGAACAAGCTGTTCGATAATGGCACTGCGGCAATAACACCGAAGTGAGAGCTAGTCTGATCCCTTTTGAATCGTACCTGAGATGAGTTGGAACTTCTGAGTCTAGGCTGGCACAGCTGACTATCGTGAAGGAATTTGCAATTTTTAATTTCAATTTTCAGTTTCTATTTTCCGCAAATCAGTTTGATAAAAATTATTTGTCAACAAAATCCCTTGTCCGCCGTCAGGAAACGAACATCACGGAAGCTTTTATCGGTACATACTACAATCACTGCGTTTTCGACCAGACAAAATAATGTCAATTCAACAACTGTAATGTCATTGTTGAAGTCCCGGGAAGGGTTGTCTGCTCCAGGAAGATAATAATGATAATATTGCGCTAAACAAGTATTAAAGTACTGAAGTACAGCAAAATAATTTTGCAATGTGTTAAGTCTTAACTTTTGCATGGATCGCTTTAAATTGGTTTTCTACCAATTTTTGTAACACCTTGTTTGTCTCTTTTTTGCACGGCTTTCGTGTTCTCTTCCGAGCTTTAATTTCTACGTAAGCTGTCGATGCAACACCAAAGGCGTGCCGATAAATACTGCACTTTATCAGCGTGTTTTAATTAAGCATCGGAGGTTTTGGGTTTTAATGCCGGGAGACTAAACGCTGTAAGTAAAGAAGTAAAAAAAGGTACATGTAACGGGATCATGAGTATAAGACAAAATGTACTGTCCTGTCCTTTCGTGCGACTATAGGATTTTCGGGATGTAAGTAATGGTCAGGCACGCACGCCTGGATAGGGAAGGAATCGCAATAAAGGATGTATTTTTTACCGTGTCGCAGGTAATACTTCTATAATATTTGAATTACATATCTATAATTAAAAATTCGTGCGGCTCTGGATAAGTTTCTATCGGGGTAAGGACGCATCAGGTGGACTGATATCGGGAACGCAGCGTCCGCGACAAATCCGTGCGGCAACAGGTGCTCGCATAATAACGGCCGCTCGGGCTTGGGCATTATTAGCGTCCCATCTTCCACCGCTTTTCCCAAAGCGCACTTGCTCCATGTTCCACCGTCACTCTGCCGACCATAGCCGCCTATATCCACGTATGAAAATTCATAAGCGGGACCCGCTACAGCCATAAGTACGATTGAATGCGTCCCTTTGTAGTTGATATACTGACTACCGCCATTCTTTGGTTTCTGCAATACATAAATTAAGCAAAATTATATTGTGAGCAGTAAGCAGTTTAAAAGCCAATAATAATTTAATTTTCAAAACTTTCACATATAAGCAATCACCGCTTACCTTAATAACTACGTGTTTCCCGTCGGCCGCACCAATGCAGTTGGGAAACTGCCACGACGCGTTGAACCTTTCCGCATTAGATTTCCAGCGTGATTCGCTCGGTGGACCGACGTAAATAGGCCCCATAACATCCCAAATTGCTCTTGTTGTTTCGCGGTAAATGCGATTTACGGTGGCTCGACCAAGGCAGAAACTGTGGGCTGCTGCAGTTTGACTCATGCCCGAAGCCAATATTCTGTAAACACTTATTGTAACAGCTATAATGAGCAGAAACAGCAGCTGTGAGTAGTTGTAACTTATCTTAATTTGCTTTGATTTTTAAAGTAAATTTAAAGCGATTTTGTCTGAATATATAGGTTCCAATTTTACACCATTTAACTGCTAGAGTAGTACACAACTATTTGTTTTAATTTTGCTAACCTTAAAGTTACGGCAAGTCGCTCCATGGGAGAAACCGGATGCTCATGAGTGATAGCGTGGCTGATGCGTGGAGTAATCAATGCAAGAATTTCGTCAAAGGTTTCCTTGGACATCCGGAAATACTGAAAATGTAGCTCCTCGTCCAGCTCGCGCATCCGTTTCACAATATTGGAAAATTCACCCCAACGATCGCGATCACGATTATGCGCACGGACATACCAGCGACGTTGACGGATTCTTTTGCTCGCAATTGGCAAATGAATTTTTTGGCGCAGACGAGAAGTACGAAGAAGACTTTGACGCACGCGAAGCAGGTGAAGAAGCAAAGCGAGCTTCGCTTGGCGCATCTTTGAAGTTTTGTTACAAAACGAAACGATCACAGTAGAAAGCGCAGAGTTTTAAAATCAATTCAGGTTTTGTGGTAACACAGTTACTAACACAGACTAACAAAGCAAACAAACAATTTCTATCGCACGATAAACACAAACTAAAACAAAACACAGCGCAATATAATTTTTCAAAACGTGAACCGCGATTCATTTTTAATCATAATTGAGAAATGTGCGCATACTGGCATATGTGTTTATACTGCTTTAGCAGTTTGCGCTTCAGCCAGTCTGTTTCGATTTCTGAATCTGCCATACGACACTGGGTGCCGCCAACTGCGTTTGCGAGTCTCTGTATCGGTTTCAGATTTATCTGAATCGGGAGTCGTCTCCCGACGGAGTATACCACATGCTTTAGAATCGATTACGATCGTTGCTTGCTGTCTCCAGAATCCAAGTAACACTACGCCGTCGCCATGCAGCGTGAAGTTAATACCGTTAATACCGTACCATCATCACTTTCCTGGCATGACTGCCATCACTCCTGGTATTCCGATCAATATTGGCTATAAACTGGGCAATGCGCTGCACATCCAACGGCGGAACCTCCCGGTGCAGATTCTGCTCCAGCAGATCCACAATGTGCGCCTCATCGGTATGTCCCGGCGTCAAGACGGCAGCCGGAACTCCATCTGGGGCCCACCAAGCCTGGTGGACAACATTCGGACGACGTGATCTGTCCAAATCACACGATCACAACACGATACCAGTTTGGGGAGCGCCGCGGTCAGGATAGCGGAAGCCAGATTCAGTTCCCGATGACGTCCATAGTATGACGGTGAGATTTCGATGGATCGCTGGTACAAGATGAGACGGGCAATACGCATGCCAGCGTCCAGCAACAGCTGCGCCATACTGTACAGCGCTTCATCGGGATCCTCCAGGCTGTCCCAACAAGAAAGGGGACTGGCAGCATAGCGGATGCTGACGGTGCGGGTGGTCGGCGTAAGGTGTTTGTAGATGCAGACATGCGTGAAGTAATTACCTTCCCACTTTACGTCCGGGGAAGAGCTACGTTGATGCTCCGATACGCGCAACTCGCTGCACAGCTCATGCGACCTGAGAGAGGCTTCTCACAGTTGACCGGTGCGTCGGAAGCGCTGTCGATTGACGGTGTCCAGTGAGTGGAAGATCTCCTTTATCACTGGCAAAGGCAACTCCAGATCGTCTACGACGGCACTCGATGACGTATCGCCACCCAACTCGTCGGTTTGTTCGGATACATTACGGGAACATACAGGTGCAGCAGACTTTCTCTCTCCTTCGAACACAGTCGCCTGCGTAAGAAAAAGCCAATTCTATATGCGATAAAAGCTCAAATTGTACAACTGCAGATGTGTTACAAGCACGAAACACCGACGTACCAGATTTTCAGCCGTCAAAGGCGATCCCTGGCTGCTCCGCACATACTGCATCTCCTGGCTGAGAACCTGGAGGAATCGCACTTGGAACTCTTCCTCAACTTGCTGCAGCAGCCAGGTCGACACAGACGGCTCCAGAACCCAGTAGCCGTTAGGCGTACGGCATGTGTTCTTGACGAAATAGTCTGCTGCAACGAGTTCGGAATCCAAGCGTTTCCGAATCTGTGGGAAGGGAATCATTTCAGCGGGTTACATAAAGCTGTACGCCAGGAGACAAAAGAAAACACCAGCCCTATTAGGCAAAAAATTCCAGAAATTTTTAACACGAAAAACCATTTTAAAAAATCAGAAAAGAATGAAAGTCGCATCTGGTGTGAGTATGTGAGCAACCACTGCTAGCAAGCTGCTCCTAAAACACATGTCAACACGATGCACAATCTGATGCACATACCTGCGCCACTTTCCGGGCCGCCGCTTCGTTGCCAATTCCGTTGGCTAGGAAATGGGCAATGCGCTGCACGTCCGCCGGGTGCCCCTCCCAGCGCCGATGCTGCTCCAGCAGTTCAAGAATGTGCGCCGCACCGACTCGTCCCGGTGTGAAGGCAGCAGTGGGAATGTCAAACTCCATCAAGGGTCCACTTTCCTTTTTGGATAGCATTCTGACGACATAACCTTTCCAGATCACACGATCGCAGAAACGCACGAGTTTGGACAGCGGCACGGCTAACACGGCGGAAAACTTGCTCAGTTTCCATTGGCCAGGATAGACCGACGGTGCGATCTCGATCGACTGCTGGAACATAATCAAACGGTAAATGCGCAGTCCAGCGTCTCCCAGAACTTTCGTAATTATATCCAGCGTTTCATCGGCACATTCCGCGGCGGGGCGACCAAAGTACGAGGTGTCCGCGTAACGAATACCGACGGTGCGGATGGCGGGCGTGATGTGCTTGAAGATGCAGGCATACGTGGCGTAAATACAATCCCACGTTCCTGAACAGGGAGAGGTAGGATCTGGTCGCGATACACGAACCTCGCTGCATAACTCCGCCCAGGTGAGAATGGCTTCCCACAGGGGACAGGTGCGTCAGCAGCGCTGTCGATCGACGGTGTCCTGGGAGTGGAAGATCTCTTTCAACACAGGTAAAGGCAGCGCCAAAGCACCTTCACCGACACTCGACGATTCCTGTCGATCTGGTTCGCCTTCCAGGTCGGCGTTTTCGGCGGAACGAAGCAGGTAGGAACGGGCGGTGAGAGACTTTCTCTCTCTTTCGAACAGAATCGCCTGTGTTGGAAAAGTGGAACGCCTGTTACTACAATTATGCGATAAGAAGATGAACTGTAAAGTTGTAGAAACGATCGATCACCAACAATAACGCACCAGATCCTCATCCGTCAAAGACAGCCCCTTGTGACCCCGCGCATAGTGCATCATCCGGCTGAAAACCTTAAAGCTTGGTGGGCTGGGTCTTCTTCAGCTTGTGCAGCAGCTGTGCTCCATACTGGGGCGCCAAATGCGGGGCCTTGCGCGCGTGGAAGCCGGGCGTGAGGATGTAGAGGAGCAGAGCGTTGTTGGTCTGGTCGAAGAGGCTGGCCAGCACGACGAGGAGGCCGCACAGCGCCACACTGAAGGGGTGCGGCAGACCCGGCCTTCACTCACTTCACGGTGGCCCACGGTGTCTACGCCAGCTCCCACGAGTCCAGCCTGCGCGCACACGTCCAGCTCCCGCTCCTGCTCATCCGCCCTGCCAAACCAACAAGACAACCGCTAGCTACGTACTTGGCAGGTTCGCCGAGTCTACTTTGCATTCTTCACAGTTACTAACAATCGCACTATTTTGACTGCCTCGGAGATGCATAGACATAATGATAGACTCGCTTTAAGACGCCTATCGTTCAAGGCACACGAGCCGTTTCCTTCAGCGTTGCCTGTACTCACTCCTGTGCACATCGCATTTTTATCGATGCTTCACGAATAAGTACCTCCACGCTGAACTTGTTCAATGCAGAAAATTCAGGCACTTCCGGCTCTTGATGCAATCGCAGCCGCTCAGTGCGGCATCGTAATGGCAATTTCATTTTGAAGTTTGTTCTCCAGCTGCAAACGCATCTACGTATACATGGCGGAGCGGGTAATATTAACGAGCGTCCTTTTCTTCTTGCACTTTCATCCGCTCAATTTCATTAGACTCGTTCATAGCGGTTACAATTTTCGAAAATACCGTGACCTGATCTTCCGCTTTGTTGCGCTTGTGAATAAGCATTCCACTTTGTTCGGCAGAATCCGATCGTTTCCGAGTTTTTTTCATTGGGATATTAAGATCACCTAACAACGCCGTGAAAATTAATTATAGAAGTATGTACTGTACTTATAAACTGTGTATATGGACGGTGTAATCAGTATAAATCTTATGCTTTTTTATAAAACATGTGAGTATATTGTATCGCCACTCCGAATTAAAAGTGTAAAAATCCTTGATAATTATAATAATTTATTATATACAGTACATCGCTAAAATTGTTTTATACTGAAATTCATGAATAACTCGAGTACTGTACGTATTTATTATTTAACAGAATAATTTAAATCACTATTACCAAAAGTGGTTTCCGATGGTTTTGGATCGGTTTCCGGCTTGTCTGCTACTTCAACCAGCATCAGTGTTTTATCGCCTTCCGGTGTGATTTTTCCGCTTTCGTCAATGTCTGCCGTTCGTGCCACTAAAACAGCAATGAATGTTATGAAGTATACTGTCGTCTAGGTAACAAAGTAAGCATGTAACAGGCCAGTTTAGTTTTATTTTTAAAGTTATTTTCAATTTAATTTAATTTAATTACCGTCAAGGGCAGGATCGAAGGCATCGATTGTGTGCAGTGCCGATTCGGGTGATAACGGCATACGACTTCCGCTTGCACTCGGCTGTGATTTTGACATAAAAGCTTTTCGATAGTCTGCCTTGACCTTTTCCCGAATATTCATCCCGTCAGTTCTATCCTTGACCACACTTGTGCCACTGACTGCGCCGGCTTTCAAGGTCGCTTTCCATTGAATTATCTGGTACACCAATTTATCCTTCTCGCTCCAGCTGTCTTCCGCCGTCCCGGTTGGAGAAACATGCGGGTAAGCTTTACTAAAAGCTTTAATGGAGCGACTGACCATTTCTTGCAAGGTATGGCTTGGCTTTTTTGTGGAGTCGTAATTCAGGTGGATCCCGTTGTCCTTGCACATTTCAAGAACTTTCCTCCACAATGCACCTGATTCCTTCGTATTTTCCTTCACGCTCCATGGATTAATTTCGACAATAATCCTGAGTTTGGTAATGGTTTGCTGATAATTTTCCGCCCTCGTACGTTTGTTCTGAGTGTTTGTCGGAATATCGGAGGTGGTATCAACAGGAAAAGTATTGC